TATATATATATATATATATATATATATATTGGGTGAGAATTTAATGGAATACATAATTATCTTTTTTTTTTTTTTTACTGTTGTTGTTATTGTTGCTATTCTTTCTCTCTGTTGATTCTGAGAGTAATCCAGACAGAGAGTTAATAACGTGAACAAAATAAATAAAAATAATAATAAATAACATCAACTATACCATCCCTTTCATCCTATCAATATATATATATCATTGGGTGTACTCTTCCTTTGCTCTTAATTTCCCACACCTTTTTTCCTCCATCCATATATATATATATATATATATATATATATATATATATATATATATATATTCACACATACACACACATTCACATAGAGATAGTTAGTTCAATTTATATAATTAATAAAAATAAAATAAAATTAAATAAATAAATAAATATGAGGCGGTCTACCCTCCTCTGTGGAGGATTTACCATGAAATATAAAAAAGGCACTGGTCTCTGGGATGAAGATCACGTAAATGATTATAAATCCAATCGCTATCTCACTGCCCGTGCCACTATGCGTTGGTATTATGAAATGGAAAGACAACAAACCCGTAATAGTCTAAACGCACGGCGAAGTACACAAAGTCATTATAATAATAATGGATTACATCATAGTGGAAAAGGTCCCTTTGAAAGAGAAGCAGAAAGACAAGGAATACAAGTAGAGAAATATCCATTGACCACCACTACAGGAATTACACGAGTAGCAGAAATGGTAATATTAAGAAGATTAGAATTAGAAAAGAAAGCAGAAGAAGAAATGGGAAAACAAAGAAATCAATTAAAAGAAAAGTATACAACACCAACAGAATGGTATGATGAGAAGAAAGGTCCATTAAATCCAGAGTTTCTACGATGTATGCAATCGCATTATAAAGTAGATATCACAACTCTTCCAGATACTCCACTTATAAAGGCAGAGAACAAATAAACAGCAAGTCTTAAATAAATAATAAATAATAATAAATAATAAAAGAGAGAGAAAGCTATATTAGGGAAAGGAAAGGGATAATAAGAAAAAAAAAAACATAATTATTTTCATGGTCTGATTTTGGTTTTTTTTTTTTTTTTTTTTTTACTCTGTTTTCCTATTGCTCTTTATCTATCTATCTATTTATTTATTATTATCATTATTAATATTTTATGTTTTCTTGTTAGTATTATTGTTGCTGTTATTATTATTATTATTATTATTATTAGTGTTGGTATTGTTTTTTTCTCTTCACATACTGTGAAGTCTGTTAAACTACCTTGCGGTGATCACATTTCGCTCCTTTTCTCTTTTTCTCTCTCTTACTTACTTAACTTCTGCATATACATATTCGAAACTTCTCCCATTTTCTTCTTTATTTTTCATCATCACTTATTATCTGCCTTCTTCTTTATTATTATTATCACTATTACTATTATTATTATTTACCTTCTTTTCTTCTTCTTTTCTTTCTTTTTTTTAACTCCATAGTCTGTATGATTCTTGTAGAAAGAGGTACTTTCTTACCTTTTCTTCTTTAATTATTTAATTATTATTATTATTATTATTATTAATTGGGCCTTTTTTATTATTATTATTAGTAGTAGTAGTAGTATTAGTAATAGTATTAGTATTGGATGGCGCAGTTGATTCCATATGATATTCTCTACACCACTAGTGAAGATGAACACTTTCCCATTTCGGAATTAAGTCTCGGTCATTTACAGCCACACTCCTCCTCTTCCACTTCTTCTTCTGCTGCTACCACTACCGCAGATAATACTAATAATAATAATAATAATAATAATAATAATAATAATAATAATAATAATAATAATAATAATAATAGATCGACTTCTGTATCTCGTACTCGTAAAGGTTGGCAAAGTGCACGAAATGCAAAGATGCCACAAGCAATTGTGCTTCGACTTCCTGGAAGAGTAGAAATTACACAATTACGAATTCTCAGTCATGAATATATGATCGCATCTAGTGTAGAAGTACGATTATTTGCCTTAACAGGACCGGAAATGGAAACTCATCCACCATCTTTTCGTAGTGTACGGTTTATGAAACTTGGAGCAGTGAATTTTAATAATAATGAACACTCGCATTACCGATCAAAAGAACGAAAAACCATTCATTTACAGGCAGAAGCATATTTTGTTAAACTTCTCTTTAATACACCTCATCCTAATCCAAAGAATCGATTTCATCAGGTGGGTATTTATTCTATAGAAATTACTGGAAAGATTCTCTCCCGTGTGAGACATCATGCAGATCCGGCGTTAGTAAAAGGTGTCTTTACACCTCAATCTAGTGAAGAAAGACATGAAACACCTGTAAAGATATTAACTATACCAAGAGAAGGTGCGAGTCCATCATCATCATCTTCTCAACAACAATATCAACAATATCCATATCAACAATATCAACAATATCAACAACATCGTCCAGTTTCTCCTCCATCACCGTTAACACCAGTAAAGGATGAGATGATGATGATGATGATACCTCAAGGAAGTAGTAGTGTTGGTGTGGGTGTTGGTGATATTCCTCCATTTCGTTCTGTTCGTATATTAGAATTTGAAGATTTCTTTATTCGTCGTTCAGAGGAATTACTCACATTAAAAAATCAAGCCGTAGCGATTGAAAACTATGAAATAGCTAAACTATGTCGTGATCGTATGAATCTTATGAATCAATACTCAATACGTATTTATCAACTTGAACAAGATAAGGTAGAGGCTATTATTGAAGAAGACTTTGATGCGGCAAAACAGGCAAAGATCGCAATGGATACTTTAATGGAAAAAGTCTATCAAGATGTTCAATTACCAAAGACTCTGAAAGAATTAAATACAGATTATAAGAATGGGAAAGAAGTTATTCAAAATGGTAAATCTAATGGTATGGATAGTCGTGGTCCTAGTCGTAATAATAATAATCATCATCATCATCATAATAGTAGTAGTAGTAGTAGTGATGATGATAATGATAATAATAATGAGGAGGATGAGGAGGATAAAAGTCATGATGAATTAAAAAAGGTAAAACAGAAGAAAAGGAATGGAACGGCAGAGAAAAAAAAAAGTGATGATATTCATACAGATAGTGATAATAGTGAAAGTAAGGATACGGCAATACCTTTAGTATCCAAGTATGTGCAACGAATGACCCAACTTGTACGAGATCTCTCACATGAGATTGATGATATGGAGACAGAAGCAACAACAAAAGCCGGAAGAAACTCCGATTCCTCTTCCCCTTCTTCTGCCGCAACAGGAGAAAAAGGAAAAAAGGGTAAAAAAGAAAAAGAAAAAGGAGGAGATTCATTATTAAATGAAACTTCCATTTTATCTGAAACTCAATTACCACAATGGGAACGTCCAGTGGCGGATCTCATTATGAAATTATCTGGAGAAATGGAATGGCCTTCTCAATTAGGCGATGAGGTGCGAAACTCACGAGAGGCAATGGATCTCATCGCGGCTGTTGGTCATTTTACTACTGCCTGTCTTTTTAGTAAACGATTTATTTTACGTGAAAAGGCATTAGAGGCATTATTAGATCATATGACTCCATTATATACATCTACACCTGCTGCAATAGAACAGGCGGTATTACGTTTCTTTGATATGAATAATTATGGATTACAAGATACCATTCCCAGTGTGGTAGCAACAGCCTGTGCATTTGTTCGTATGGTATTAGCAAATGAACATAAATGTCTAACCGCTATACTTGCACCTGTAGTGAATCTCTTACCACGATTATTATGTTGTGCAGCGGATTCGCATCCACGTATTCGTGAAGAGGCCCGAACAACTCTTACATTGTGTGTAAAAACGCCTGCTGTTACGAATGCTACGATTCTTCTCGCTGTATTGGCAGATCCTATTGATAAGGAAAGACGGCGACGATTATCTGTGAATAGTAGTAATAGTAATCCACGTGTGCAACTGGCACGATTGGCTTTATTGGAAGAAATGATAACAACAGGTAAAACCGCATTGCGTAGTAATGAAGATACATTATGGGCAAAATTACTTATTCCTTGTTTAAATCATCAAAATCATGAAGTACGGGATCTCGCTATCTCTGTAACAACCTTCCTATTAAAGGAACGAAAGATCGTGTTCACAGAGAAACGAGCAGCTAATATAGATAACGTGGCGATAAGAGAAGAATTACAGGGAATATCAACAGCAGCAGGAATAAAAACAACAAAAACAACAACAACAGGTGTGAAAAAAACACCCACACGATCTTCTTCATCCACTTCTGCTACAGCAGCGCCTCCTCGAGTGCCATCTTCTTCTGGAGATGGACATATCACCGCCCGATAGCGTGAAATATATATATATATATATATATATATATATGGGTGAAGACAAAAGAGAGAAAGAAAAGAGAAAAAAAGGTAAAGAATAATAAAAGAAAAACAAATCTTTTTTTTTTCTATTGGGCCATTCCTTTTTTTTTGTAATAAAGTAGCTGTACAAAACTCCATTCTCTCTCTCTCTCTCTCTCTCTCTCTCTGTGTGTGTAAATGGGTGGGTGTGTGGTTAGAGATATGGAGGGGAAATAATTGAACTTTTTTTTTATTTTGTGCTTCTTCTGATTTTTCTTATTGTTATTGTTATTGTCTGCTTGAAGTTTTTTTTTTTGTTTTTATTAATGTTATTATTATTGTTATTGTTTCTTTGCGCTTTTTTTGTTTTTTTTTTGATATACACTCTAGACAACTCCTTTTCCTTCTTCCCCCCCATATTTTTTTTTTGTTTTTGCTACGGAGTGGGGGAAGATAAGCAGGATTGGAGTGTCCAAGATGTGTACCTTCGCGTATCTGTCACTATATATATATATATATATATATATATATATATATATTTATTTATATTTATATATATATTACTCTGTAAGTGGTATTATTATTATTATTTGTTTATTATATATATATATATATATATATATTCTTTATGAGATCTTTTTCTCTTTCTCTTTTCCTCTCTCTCTCTCCTTCTATATATATATATATATATATATATATATATATGTATAATAGGAAAATTTCACTGAAAAAAGAAAAGCAGAGAAGTTTTTTTTTTTTTTTTAAGAAAAAAAGAAAAAAGAAGAATTAAGAGTCATGGATCAAGAGAGACAACCCGATGTGATGGTCAATGTTGATCTAACCCAAAAGGAACTGCAAGGGGAAGTGGAATGGAAAAAACAAGTTGAAGTAACCCACAGAGAATATCAACGTCTGGATGATCCCGATAATGAACGCATGGGTGAATTCAAAGCCCCAGGGAATGTGAAGATCGATCAGTATGAAAATAATAATAATAATAATAATGGCAATGTGTATAATGATCCTAATATACTGGAGATGAAAGCTCCACGGGATGGAACAAGTGTTCTCCATTATGAGGACTACATACCAAATATTAATAATAATAATTATAATGAGGCAGCCCCAGCAGCAGCCGCAGCTGAAGCCTCCGTAATGTATAATTCCACAGACAGTCCAAACGCACAATTACCTAAATGGGAACGTCCAGTGGCGGATCTCATTATGACATTATCAGGAGAAATGGAATGGCCTTCTCAATTGGATGAAGATGCGAGAGAATCCAGAGAGGCAACAGATCTCATTGCGGCTGTTGGTCATTTTACTACTGCCTGTCTTTTTTGTAAACGTTTTATTTTACGTGAAAAGGCCATTCAAGTTATCATGGATCATATGACTCAATTATATACATCTACACCTGCTGCAATAGAACAGGCGGTATTACGTTTCTTTGATATGAATAATTATGGATTACAAGATACCATTCCCAGTGTGGTAGCAACAGCCTGTGCATTTGTTCGTATGGTATTAGCAAATGAACATAAATGTCTAACCACTATACTTAAGGCGGTGGAAAATCTCTTACCACGATTATTATGTTGTGCAGCGGATTCGCATCCACGTATTCGTGAAGAAGCAAGAAGAACACTTGTGATGTATGTAAAAACAGAGACAGTACCAAGAAATACAATTCTTCTCGCTATATTGGCAGATCCTATTGATAAGGAAAGATTACGATGGCAACCGAGTAGCAGTATAACGATTACACCTCGTGTACAAGTGGCACGATTGATGTTATTGGAAGAACTTATCATTACGGGTAATATTTCACTACGTGAACATGATAAAGTACTCTGGACAAGATTTCTTATTCCATGTTTAAATCATCAAAGTCAGGAAGTACGAGATTTGGCTTTATCTGTGACTACGTATATGTTAAGAGAGCGACTCACTTCAATGACACCAAAACGAGCGTCTAAAATTTACAATGTAACTATTCGGGATCAACTTCAATCTGTGGCTACAGTTGTGGCACGTGCTGCACGATGATTATTATTATCATCATCATCATCATCATTCCGAATCTCCCCACTTCTTTCTTTCTTTTCTTATTATTATTATTATTATTATTATTATATTTTCTCCCTTTATTTAGATTATTTGGCATTATCAAGTTAATGAAAAGATCACCTCTACCATATATATATATATATAGTTTCTTTTTTTTCTTTTTTCTTCAACAGGCTCCTTATTTATTAAAAGGACAGATTACTTGAGTGAGTGGGGGGTGGGGGTCACTGGAAAGAACAACAAAAAAAACGAGTATCATTGAGCCGACCGATATTGGGACTAATAAAGAGGGTTTGTAAAAAAGAAAAAAAAAAACAGAATGGTATTGAAGATTCTTTTTGAACGTTCGTTTTTTTTTTTCTTTCTTTTTACTACTTTCCATCGTCAGTTCCCTTGTTTGTTTGTTTGTTTTTCTTTTTTTTATTAATTCGAGTTTTTTCTTTTATGTTTTTTTTTTTTTTTTCTTCCTTATATTCGATGTGTATCTAAACAAAACCTTCCTCCCTCGTTTTTGGCTATTACTCCTGAAGGGAGGAAAAGAAAAGTAGCATTATTAAAGTATAGTGACAACGTAAAGTTACGATTCGTATAGTTTCTTTTATGGGCTATGGTCCTTTTTGTAAAGACTCTCTTTAATAATAAACACACTAAATGGAAAGAAAGTAGAGGAAAAGAAAGAGAAAAGTAAATATGCTTAGATGTGTGTGTGTCTCTTCATAAAGATTTCTTGTTATGTCAATATATATATTATATATAGGTGATTCTGTTTATTCCTTCTATTAGGAAATGAATTATGTATTCTTTCTCTCTCTTTCTTTCATTTCTTTCTTTTTTCAGGTAGAGTTGATTTTATCTGGAAATCACCCCGAAATATAAGGTGAAAAAAAGAAAAAAAAAGCTGAAGCAGCAAAAGCAAAAAAAAAGAAAAAAATGAAACGCATGACGAATCCACATGCCTCAACAATACATCAACAACAACAACAACAAGAGTTGGATTTGGATGATGATCCGCAGGGAGCCTATGTTGATCTGGATGATCCCAATAATGAGATTCTCGATGAAAGTCACCTCCCAGAAATTGATGATGATGATGACTACGATAATGAAAATGAAGAAGTCACTGCTGAAACAGGTGGTAATAATGGAACCACTTTAAAGAAACGTGCTGGTAAAGGTATTCACTTTAAACAAGGTGAAGTGAATGAAAATGAAGAGAATAATATAGTTGAAGAAGAAGAAGAAGAAGAAGAAGAAGAATTGGCTGGTGAGGATCTTAATGATATGCCTGATCGTGAACCCGAACGGGATGATGCCTTGTGTGTTTTTCATACACCAGATGCCCAACCCGTACATGCCGTAGCGGCTCACCCACGTGATCCTCATCTCTTCGCTGCTGGTGGTGAAAGTGATGATGTACACATCCTGCGATTTAGCTATAATAATAATAATAATAATAATAATAATAATAATAATAATAATAATAACGCAGAAGAAAAAGAAAAAGAAGGATATGTGGGAAATGTACGTGTGGTGGCGGCTTTACGTGGATGCCATACAGACACCGTGGCGGCAGTGGCCTTTTCACCGGATGGTAGTATGCTCGCCTGCGGTGGTGTGGATGGTGTTGTTTCTATTTGGTCTACCACTACTTGGCTACAAGAAGAAGAAAACGAAAAACAAGAAGAAAATGAAAAACAAGAAGAAGCCAAAGAATTATGTGGTCTTAGTAGTGAAGTTCTTTCTCTCCTTTGGCATCCCACCAGTCGTGTTCTTGTCGCCACCGCAGCAGATGGTCAAGCAGCAATGTGGAATGCCATGAGTGGAGCTCTTGCGGTTTATTTCAGTGGACATAGTGGTTCTGTTAACTGTGCTGCTTGGGCTCGTCATTATAAACGTATTGTGACTGGCGGTGGGGATGGAGATGTGATGGTGTTTGCCCCGCGTACAGGAGCTGTGGAGGCTCGAGTGGCAAAAGGACTTTCACCGGAACGTGCACCTGTTACCACACTCTGTTGTTTAGGCTGTTCTCTTAGTAATAATAATAATAATAATAATAATAATAATAATAATAATAATAATAATAATAATAATATGAATAATAATAATACACATGGACAGGAAATGGAAGAAGAAGATGATGTGGATGATCGTTGTGTGGTGGGATGTGAAGATGGAAGTATGCATGTGATTGCCCTTCGCAGTGGACGTGCGGTAGCGACATTGCAGGAAACACATTCCCAAGCCATTGAAAGTTTACGCATGACAGATCGTGATATCACTCCAAGATTACTTCTTTCTGCCTCTTGTGATTGTAAAGTGGCGGTTTGGGGTGTAGTGGATCTCACTTTACGCGTGGTTATTCACGTTGGGGAAAGTGTTATTCCAGCACGATGGATGCGTGGACATTTACTGGTCGCTGGTTGTAGTGATGGAGAAGTACGCGTCTGGGATGGACGGGCTACGGAACAACAACCACGTGTACGATTAATGGGTCATCGTCGAATGATTCTCGATCTCGCCGTACCAGAGAATAATAATAATAATAATAATAATAACGGTCTGATTGTAACGGGAAGCGATGATGGTACGGTACGTTTCTTTTCACTGCCTTAGCTTTAGGTAATAATAGAGAAAAAGAAGTATATATATATATATATATATTCCTTATTCTTCGCGTAAAATATTTCACATAAAGGGAAGAAAGGGAAAAATGGAGGAAAGAAGAAAAAGAAGAAAAGGATATACAATTTGATATTTTGAAGTTAAATAAAGATATAAAGGTTAAGGAGTGTTCAATTCATTTTTTTTTTTTTTTTATCCCCTCACCTTCTCCCTTTATGCATTATTTTTCCCATATTTGTTCTTTTTATTGTTATCATTATTATTACTATGATTATTATTAGTGATAAAGAGGTGTGGTATTATTATTTTTTTTTTTGTTTTTTTTTTAACGGACACTAATAATAATATCTTTTTCTTTTTTCCTTCCTTTCATTCTATTCTATTTTTTTTTTTTTCACAATATTGGTGAATTCATATATATATATATATATATATAAACTCAAATCAATTAGAAAGATGGAAGAACACCCAGTAGAGGAGGATGTAAATGAAATCAATACAACACTTCTAGAATTACAAGATGCCCTCACAGCCGCATTGCGAGAAACCGGCGTTTTGGGAAAATTAAGAGCTCAACTTCGTGCCTCTGCCATTAGTGTTGTGCGTGGGGATTCACATTTACGAGATGCGGCCGTTTCTTCTGCAGGGAAAATCATGCAACCCGCCTCTCTTTCTCTAGAAGCTCGAGTGGCATTATTATTAATGGAAGACTTTATGCGTGTACATGGACTACTTCACACAATTGGGGTATTTGAAGCGGAGAGTAATGTATGTTTAATAGGAGAAACAGAAAGAGCCACAATGAAAGAAATGCAATCGCTACAACAACAACAACAACAACAACAACAACAGAGTTCTGGAGAGAAATCGATATTAGAGAAATTGATTGCCAATACACTACAGAGAGATAAACCTATTATACTACAGGGAACATCTACAGGATCTTCATCTTTATCTTTAACACCACCAGAGCATTCTGTGCAGCCTTCAAAAGAAATAGAAATAGAAGAAGAGAAAGAAAAAGAAGAAAAAGGAAAAGAACAACAACAACAGTCGACGATAATGAAGATGGGGATGATGAACAACAACAATATCAACAACATCAATAATAATAATAATAATAAGGAAAAGGAAAAGGAAAAGGAAAAGAAGGAAGAACAAGAGGTTCCGCATAATATAGAGATTATAGATGAATTAAAGGAATATGATGATTCTGTTGATTTTAGCGATATTAGTATTGAGGATATCTCATCTATGAATAAGACTTCATATGATTATATGGAGAACTTTTAATGAGAGAGTGTAATCCTAACTCTATTTCTTTCTTTCTCTTCTTAATGGATTTATTCTTTCCTTCTTCTTATTATTTGTGGATTGTTGTTGATGTTGTTGTTGAGATGTGCTGGGGATGAGTGTTTTCTTATTTACTGTTGCGGAGAAGAGAAACAGAAAAAGAAAAAAAAAAAAACAATGGAATTAAAAAGAGAAAGAAAAGAAAAAAAAAAAAGACGATCATGATGATGTTTACCGGTAGAAACATATAGAGACAAAAAAAAAAAAGAAGATATAGTGATAATAAAACGAAAGGAGGGTGGGTGGAATGTAAAAAAAAAAAAAAAAAAAAAAAGTTAGTGATTCTGTTCTTCTTTATTTTAATCTGTTTCTTTTTTTTTTTTTCTTTTTCTTTTCTTTTTTCTTTTATATTGATGTGTTTACATCTTGGAATATACATAAAGTGTGACTGTGTGGGGGTACTTCTCTCTTATAGGGCAGGAAAGAATACAGAAAAAAAAAAAAGAGAAGAAATATATATATATATATATATATAAAGGAAAAGAAAAAGAAAAAAAGAAAAAAGATATGGTTCTCCTCCGCCGCTCTTCTGTTGTACTCCAACACTTCCGTCGCTCTTCTACTCTCTATAGTAGTAGTAGTCATTATAGTAATAATAATAATAGTAGTCGTACTACTGCTGCTGCTTCTTCTTCTATTCCAGCTGAAAAATTAGAATTATTATTACAACGATGTGGTCTTCACAGTATAATAGATGCTCATGGTGGTTCTGATAACTTTGCTCGTATAGTTCATTCTCATACAGAGTATCAACTCTTTGCTCCTCTCTTTACACCATACTTTACCATATCTCATCATCAATTAACAATGTTGGGAGATACCATTATGGATGATTTTCTTACTCGTGCTATTATGGATTATGCTATACATATGGGATTAGTATTAACTGTAAATGCCACTAGACAATTAAAAGCCGTTTTACATAATCACTTTACACTCCGTCTCTTTGCAAAGGAATTACACTTTGATGAATTAGTCGTTCCATTGGAATTTTATACTTCTACTCATAATAATAATAATAATAATCATCATCATCATAATAAAGAAAAAGAAAAAA